ACAAGCAGTTGGATGCAAAGCCAGAGAAGTCTCATGAGTTTCTCAGCAAGAGGGAGCGGCTTGTGGAGATGAAGAAGTCTGATCCCTCATCGAGAGTGACAGCATCTGTGAACATTTTCGGCGCTGAGGAGAGCATTACCATGGCTGAGACACAGCGTCATGGGCTGCAAGGCCCCAAGACCAAGTTCATGGAAATCTCCGTCTTTGTCCGCAAGTTTGGTCAGCCAGCGCCCGAACGAATCAAGACCAAGTTGTTCAAAGGCAAACAAATCACCGGCGTTGACATCATCGATAGTGAGGACTTCTGGGAAAGGGCATGTTCCAATGTTCCAAACAAACAAACCCATCCAAGTCTAAGTTGTTTTGAACATGTTGACCTCAAAAAGTCTAAAGAAACTATTGCAGGACGAGGGCATTTACACTTACATCGATGAGGACATCACGAGTGTTGATAGAACCACCCAGCTCAATACGCCAGATGTTGTCTTGTCAGCCAACCAGAACGATACCATCCATGCTGCGGCAACACGTCAGTTGAACAAGGCCTATGAGATATCTCGGGCTGTTACTGTGAGGGGGTCATCGTCTAAGGGCTCTTGCAGCGAGGCATTTGTTGATGCAGATGTTTTGATGGAGCAAACACCTGATGGGTCAGGCAGCGGCGAGCAGAATTGTGAGGTAGTGGAAGAGGAAGAAAACCTTGAGCAGGATCAGCCCTTCTTGAAACTCTTTTCCCGACTTGGCTCGGCTAAGAGGAAAGGTGCCTCTCAATCTGGAACAGACTCCAAGCCAAACTCCAAGCCAACCAGCAACACCAAGAACATCAAGTCCAATCGCGGTGGGGGCGGTGGGACTGCTCCCAAGCGGGCTAATCCAGATCCGCCAGGTCCATCTATTCCTGCTGCTCCTGAAAACCAGCAGGGCGATGTTTCTCAGGAGGATCAAGAGTTGATTGAATCTTACCGCCAGCAGATGGAAGAGCTTGAGAAGCTTGATGCGCCATCGTCTGCAGACACAGCCTTCAACCAGTGGGCAAAGGCAAGACAAAGCAAGCTGAGCGAATTGAAATCAGGCCGGTGGCGTTTCATTCTGACACCCTGCATGTTTGGTCTTAGCCCACTGCAACTGTAACTGTAAGTCATAAGTCATCATTTAATCAATCTTCAGTATCGCCATCGCTTCAGTTCAGGCATGCAAGCCAAGTCCAAGTCGATCAAGAGGAGGCGCCGTGCAGACGCTACTCAAGTGGTTGACGCCGTGGAAAGTATGGTGTCAAGAGCCAATGCTTTGCTGGATGTGATCAAGCGTATGGTATCTTGCAGCACTGAGGGATCAAATCTCTATGTCGCTGTTGTGGAGCTTGTAGATGATCTTCCTGCGTCTGATCAACCGACTGAAGCTGTCTGGGAACGTTGTTTGCGCGCTGTTGCTTTTGAAGACTTGAAAACAGCTAGGTGGGAAGCCTTCTTCACTGACACCTTTCAGAAGTGTCAAGTATGCCTGTCGTCCCCACACGGTACAAACTATCTCACCCTGCTTTGCAGCCAGATTGGACAAAAGCTCATCAAGGGAGTGTCGAAGTTCAATCAGGATGGTCTCTCTTACTTGACTGGCTTCATTGATGAGCTGGCCAAACATGCCAGAATCTTTGATCCAGTGTTGAGCGATGGACAACAAGAGCGCAATGCCTTTGTCATCTCCTGTGTCCAGACCATGCTGGACTTCAGTGCACCGCCATCCAAAGTTGTTGAGTGCTGCCAGATCTTTGCATCTCACAAAGAGCAAGACCACTGGTTGGCAAAATGCTTCGACTTGGACAAGGGGAAAAAGATTATCGAAGCGTCACTGGAGAACGCTCGCAATAGGCAGGCTTCATCAAATGTTCTGGATAGCCTATTGTCAGCAACCAGCAAGCTGGAAAAACATGACTTGCATGACGTGGACATTGCTTCGAGGGGTGAGTACCAGGGAGAGAAGTTCACAGTGGACTTTGCCAAAGACATCGTCTCTGCGTTTGCAGCTCTCAAGGATGAAGGACAGCTCTAGAGAAACATTTTTAACTTCAACTTGCTTACAACAACAACTATATATAACTAGTCTCTTGCTTGAATGAGTGGAAGTTAAATTGCGAGTTGAATTGGTCAATGCAAACAGGAGTGAAAGCATTGAAGGGAGCAGACCGCAACCATTTGTCCAACTTGCACAAGCTTGCAAAGAATGCGACAACATCGGCTATCCACTCGTTTGCTTGCTTTTGCCTTCTCCCCTTTGTTCGTGATCTCCAAGCCGCCATCTCATCCAAGAGGACGTTGCCAAATGAGTTGATCGGAACGTCCACATGCATTGTGCATCTCCAAGGCTCAGTTGAAAAGGTACATGAGGTGACTCTCAAGCAGTTCGTGTCCTTTGGGAACTATGTCACCTCCTTTGTTCCACAAGTGGCCAAGGCAATAGCAGGAGAGCTGAGTGCTGACGAGTCTCAAGCAGCTTTGTTGGAGTGGACCAAACAGTCCGAATCTTTGCTATCGGCTGTGAAGGCATTTGGCTGTGGCTGTTTCAGCAACTTGGATTCAGCGATGACAGAACTCACCAAAGAAGTCGAGTGCTCGCTGAAAGGGCAGGTACACAATCAAGCTGCAGATCATGTGACGGCCTGTCTGAAAGTGTTCGAGAAGGTGTTGTTCCTGCAACAATTGCCGAGCTGCTAGGAGTTGGAAGCCTTCAACAAGGACATGGAACAGGCCAAACTGATGAGCAGTGTGATGGGACAGGTTGGCAATCGCTTTCGATCTTCCCTGGGATTTGTCGATTCCATCCTCCATGGCTGCCTTGGAACTATCAAGGCAGGAGAGTGGTTGAGTCAGGACAATGGCAATGTACTTGCCATCATCTCGGATGCTACTATCATGAATCCCATTGAGAACTTCTCCAAATATGTCACATGTGAGGAGAATGCGCAGGGCTTCCTGGACAAGATCAAGGATGACATCATGTTCATGGTTGAAACTGTGAAATACACACCGTTGCCAAAGCCCGAGGAGCAAATTGCTATGACGCATGAGGAATTTTGGGCAAGCATCGAGAACTGCACTAAGACCGTGTGTGACGACTGGAAGGCAGTTGTGGGCGTGCTGTCCAAGGAGTTCAACAAGTCTTTGCAGGCAATCTTCGACAAGTGCCCGAATCTTGAATTGCCAAACAACTTCTTGTCAGTCAAAGAAATTCAGGAGGTTCTTGCATTGGAAAAGGAGATCACTGGCACCTTTGACCTCAAACGCTCCAAAGTTGTTTCAGAATCTGCTGCAAGCGCTTCTGAGATGCTGGATGTGGTCAAGCATGCGAGTGGCAAGTTGTGTCTTGGCTGTGATCAACTCTGTGACCATGGCAACTACTTGCAGAAGTACCACTCATGCCTGACTTGGATGTGGCTTGCCACAGAGTTACTGTTCAATTTCAACTGTGTCATATGAAGTAGCACTTGGATGATCGATGGTTTTTGGTGATCATTAAATTACATGTATACATATGCTGCATGTATATATATATACATACACACCATGCACCAAGGACGCTTGGAAGCATCCTGAGCAGTTTGTGCTCCAAAGCTGTCAAACGGTCACTCCAGTCAAAAACACCATTGACCAAGCAGACTGTGAACGCGATTTCAAGTGCCTTGAGTGTTGCAAAAGACCACACTCTAGATGTTCCTGGTGGTATTCAAGCCATTGCCACCTATTTTATCAGTTAAGGTGGTTTGCGTGAATTTTGCAGAGAAGAGCAGTATAGTATAGTCCTTCTGTCGAGCCAAGCCTTAAGCTTGACGGAATTATCTTCTCTCGTTTCCTACCTATTGCAGCTGCAGTCTGCAGTGTGTGCAGTACTAAACATCCTCTTGTTTGTGGCCAGTATTGGCAATTAGCAACGCCGGGCTTGATGCAAAAGGTGACTGGGTAGGCCCAAAGGGCACAGTCACTGAGTCTTCACTTATGTTCTGGTTCTAGCCCTAGCTGTCTTTTCTCTTTTCAATCTTTTCAATCTGGCTTGGTAATGATTTGTAGGTCCGCCTACTTGTGTTGATTTTGATGGTGGTGGTGAAGACAGGCAAGGTTGTCCAACGCTCAAGCCTGAGCCAATCCGCCTGTCCTATAGTCCCAAAGGTGTCTGCAGATTCGATGTGGGTTGCTCTGTAGACTGGAGTTTCATGGACCCGACCAAAGGCGCAAAAGGGCAAGATAATTAGTTAGTTGTGCAGTTGCGCATGTGTGTGTGTGCAACTTGCAGGTTTTTGAACTTCCGAATCAAGTTGGCCTCAATGCCAGTTTATTGTAGGCTCAAAGCCCTCATAGTAGTAGTGGCTCCGAAATGGCTCCGAAACGAGGGCAGGCGAAGGCTAAGGCCAATTCGCCAAAACCAAAGGCTGTGCCAAAGCCAAAAGCAGCCAAATCCAAACCCAAAGCCAAAGCAAACGCAAAAGCCGCTGCAGGTTTGGCAGGACCTCAGCCTCAAGAGCTTGTGGACCAGCCAAGCGCAAGTCCAGTGTCTCCTGAGCCTCAGCCTTCACCTCCCAAAAGAAGAAAGGGTGGTGTAGACTGGAAGCTCTACAATACACTACCACTACATGAGCTTCCTATCAACCAAAAGGCTCATGACTACTGGAAGCAACTGGCAAAGGCCGGCGCTGTACAGCCGAAGGAGGAACCCCAAGAACCATTGGAATCGGAACCTTGTGACTAGGTTGCACATACTTACAAAGCTACCAATTTCAACCTGATCATCCAAAGTTAAACCAGATCAAACTTAGACTCTTAGCACTTGTGGCGTTGTAGCCTCAGGTGCAACTGTGGCTCATGACCGTGAAATTGTTGGCCCAGAGTCAGAGCTCACAGATGATCAATGGATGGAAGCCATCGATAAAGAGTTGATAGAAGGAGCGACGGCATGAATTGTAATCGTTAGTTTTGTGGCAGGTGTTCATCAATCATATCAGAATCATAAGTCACATGTCCATTTCTGTTTGTTTGGAAGGAGCCGCTGCTAGAGCAACCCCTGAGACTGAGACTGTACAGGGGGAAGCGAGCTCTAGTTCTGTTGGGGAGACTGCCAATGCCAATGCCAACAGAGTTGAGATCAGTGAAACTGAGACTGGGGGGGGCCAGTCTTCCAAAGTAGATGGAGACAGAGATGGTGAAGGAGAAAAAGTCGAATCGCCAGCTCCCAAAACGACTGAGATCAACACTGCTGACGCTCAGGAGCAGACTACCGAGAATGTGGTAGTGGGAGGAGATCCTACTCACACTCAAGAGGAGATTCCGGCTGCTGAAGCTCTGGAGCAGACTACCGAGAATGTGGAAGTGGAAGGACATGCTACTCACGCTCAAGCGGAGATTCCGGCAGCTGAAGCTCAGGAGCAGCATACCAAGAATGTGGACGTGGAATTGGAAGGACATGCTCCTCAGACTCAAGCGCAGATTCCGGCTGAAGCTGCAGCAGATCGCGCCGAGACAGAGGCTAAGATCAACGCTGACGCTGGGGAGCATTCTACTACCAAGAATGCAGTAAACATTGGCGCTGAGACTCAGACTCAAATCGAGTCTCAGGCTGAGATCAAGAATGCGGAAGGAAATCCGCAAACTGATCTGCCTGTCTTGATGGAAGCTGACACCATGGACATGGGTGTCGAGAATGAGAAGCCTGGTGGCATTGGCATCGGGGGTGTGGCCAATGCTGGCATCCAGGCAGCTGGAAACTCGACAGCCCATGACATTGACCCTGGCTCTACTCAAGACGACAAGATGGATGTTGACTCAGACCCAGATGCCAGGGATGATGTGGGAATTGAACTAGAAGCAACCCCAGGAGACGCTCTGTACTCATTGCGCAAGTTGGCGCATGATCCAACCTTAGCTCCACTGCGTTTCACCTCTTTCAGTTGTTGAAGTCGAAGTCTAAGTGTCATTTGTGTTCACCAGCCACACTTAGAATCGGGACTCGGGACTATGGTTGCCAAGGAGCAAGCCAAGAAGTTGATTGAGAAGTTCGGGGCTTCTACTTTGGCGGTTTCAGTGAATAGTCTGCCAAGATCAATTTCCCTCATGTCGGGCTGTACTGGGTCAGGAATGCTGGAATTGGTTGCTCACGCTCTCATTGCGGAAATGAATGCAATCTGGGCGGGCGATGTGTGCGACCCAATCTGTGTGACTCAGCAGACTTCAGCTTTTGATGGGTTTGGACTGGACTGTGAACTGTTAGGCTTTATGCTCAACTGCTCAACTTGAAGTTTGTTGAAAATTGAAAGCCAAGAGTTAAAGGAATGAACATGTTGCGCAGGTCCGAACAGTGTTCATGTGCGAGATCACGCCTTTCAAGCAACAGTTTCTCCGATGCAGCATGAAGTTCTTGAAGGAGGCGTGGTTCATCATGATGAATGCATGATGCATGCATGGTGAATTATTTGCTCAGAATCTGAGATGATGAGAGTTGGAAGTGCTGCTTGTGTGCCACTGTCAGCAAATTCAATCATCAACTATTGTTTTGGTTGGCGCAGGAGTTTGGGCAAGATGAAGATGATGATTGCTATCCATGCTTGTTCGATGACATCACTAAGTTAAAAAGCAATCGACATTGCATTGTGCACAAGGGCGCATGTGTACTTTGACGTCAAGTCAATAGTCATAGACCTCAACCCGTGATCCGAATTGTAGTTTGTGTGTCTATGTTTCATTTCCGTATATATCACAATGTTCACTGAGGCCCTTCCACCGGAGAAGTCTGACCCCACAGCCACAGATGAATTGACCTTGTTCACAGCGGGATTTTCCTGCAAGTCTTTTGGTGGCAGCTGCCTTGAATTGTGCATTCATTCTTGAGTAAGTACTAAGTACTCCAAACCTGAATTTGAATGGTGCTAGGTCTTGGTCGAAGATGAATTCAGACTTCACAGTCTTCAAGAATGCGCTCCGGGACAACACAGTATATGTCTCAGCTGTTCCGGGACCACACTTATATATAATATATATATATACATGTGTAAATATACATATATGTTTATTTGTGCACTTGCTCACAGCAACTGCTTTGGTGCGCGATTGAGGATTGCACTTCCCTTGCAACTTTTCGCGGGGTTTGTGATGTGGCAGAAATCTCCAAGCCAGATTTGATGCTTTTGGAGAATGTGGATTCAATGGATACTGCCAGTTCCAATTCAGTCCAAGACGAGCGGGAGTAGAACACTCAGTGGAAAGCTGAAACAGCTAGTTGAATCAAGTTGTTGAACCATAATCAAACCAAATCCTTTAAGTCAAAAGTCAGAAAGCAAGTTTAATTTGCTACGCAAGTGGGGCTAAATTATTCTTGGTGTTGAACGCCAGGACAAACTTGACCCTGGCATTGAACCGGCTGGGTGAAATTGGCTATGCTTGCTCCGCAAGCAAGCTCAAAGCCAGTGATTATGGTGTTCCCCAACGCAGACAACGAATTTTCATTGTCTGCCTGAGACGAGATGCATTTGCTGTTTCCTCCGACGTGATGGCCAAGATGATTCCAACCAAATTGGAAGCGTTGAAATGTCCAACTATTCCACCGCTTGTTCCCCGGCTCTCCAACTGCTTTTTTTGCACTTCGCTAGTCCTAGTGTAAGTAACTTTATTTGCCGCAGCCATTTTCCCCACAAGTCAGTGCCAATCAGCCAAGGACGATTTCCTTCTGGACAACAACTGTCAGGAAGTTAAACAGGAGCTGGCCCGTCGCTTGCGTGTTGCTGAGGACGCTAAGGCCAAAAAACGCGCAAAGGAATGTGACGATGAAACAGGCATCCAACTTGGCACTGAACGTTGGACAGACCAACACAGTGCTTTGGCAGAGAAATGCTACTTGGCTGAGAAGTGTGTGACACTGACAATGTTGGATTACCAGATTCATTTTATTCAGTTCCATGTTCCCTCTGAGTTCCTTGGTGTGCCCTGTGTGAATTGAGGTGGTGTGCAATGGCCTCTCACTCCATCAACCAGATTGAGTGAATCCGATTGGTATCAAACCCTTATGCCACGTGAGCAGGAAGACTCTTGAAGCTGAACTAGACCAATCACAGACTTGAGTTGAGTGATATGATGTGTGTTTCTTTTCTGGATCTGAATCTTAGTTAGGTCTTGTGCTTTGTGGAGCTTTGGAACCAACGTTTTGAACGTGATGGCGAACCCGAGAAGAAAATAGCATTTGCTGACATTTCCCAGTCAGCTGGACGGCTTCCGACCAGCTCAGTGCAAAGTCAGGCCCAGGTTGTCTTTTTTTCCACTGCTATACCTTAGTGAGAAAACAACACCAGCGGGTGCTTGGACAGGTAGTGCCCACGATCCTGCCGAATGCAAAAATGTGGGATGTGAAGCGAGGTCGATTGCTTTTAGGCGTGGTAGGTACATGTGATGTACTACAAACCTACAAACCTACAGACTACAACGTTCCAGATTCAAATCGTACGAGCGACTTGACTCTGACTTAATCTTAGACTTTGACTGGAAGTTGCACTTGTTTGACTTGTGTGCCTTTTGTATGTTGTTTTGTTTAACAAGTTGTTTTTTCTCGCAGGTCAGGAAATGATGGCGTTACAGGGGCTCTACATGTCAGACCTTCGAGGCTATGTGCCTGCTGGTGTGACTCAACACCAAATTGGAGATCTGGCAGGAAATGCGTTGCTTGTCTTGCTAGCTGAAGCTTTTGGCCAACATTTCCATTTGCCTGGCTGTATGTGTAGTATGTATGGCTGACACTTGAGGTTCGCTGCTCACTGCGTGATGGCGAATCTTCTGTCAATGTTTTGCACTGTTCGGTTTGACACACCGAGTGAAGATGAGGAGATGGAAAACATCACCTCTTGTTTGCGGACTTGGCAGCAACGACAAGAAGTCAGTGCCTACAAGCCGCCAAGTGATTGAAGTCACTTGAGCCGAGCCGAAATCGCCAAGTGCCAAAAGAAATGGTACACGGTACACCAGGGCCGAGGGCTGTTGGCTTAGCGTCCTATGATATCGTACATGTTTTGACGCATGTCCTTTGCCCGTACTAGCCTACTGTCCCATGAGCTCGTACCCATTTTGGCACCTGTCCTACATACGCACCTTAAGTTTGTACCCGTTTTGGCATTTGTCCCTCATACGTACTAGCGCACCGCGCCTTAAGTTTGTACACATGTTGGCCCGCGCTGCATATGCGTTCCCAGCGTACCGCACTGGAGTTCGTACCCCTGATATCATGTGAATAGGCATGCCATTGAGCATTGCTCTTGAATTTTGATAACTGTAATATATATTTTCTGTATATATATATATATAGACATCGTCAATTGAGTCACGTTCACTTATGAGTAGCAGCGTTTTATTGACTTGCTTTTTGGTTGTAATGTAGATTCTGAAGGTGCCTTTGTCAAGATTTTTGAAATCATTTTTGGCATGATTCAATTAAAGCCCACCATCCACCATGATCCCCAGCCCTAGCTTCGGACAGACGGCACAAGTTTAGCACCTCCGGACAGACGAGCGGACCGAGACACCGGCCACCACATTCTCCCTGCAAAGGCTGGCTGAGATGGCTCCTGCTGCACCTACTAGTGCATTTGAGTGCCTCAGACACGTCTGGTGCCTTTACGAGAGAGAGAGAGAGAGACAGAGAGAGAGCTGCCGGTGACAGCATCATCAAGTAATATTTTGGAACTGAGACAGTGAAGACGGCAAGGCAAAACCTGGAAACCATGCCCTGATCAGCTGTACACTGATGTTGGTGTTTCGCAGCTTTCACAAAGGCCTTTGCCTCTCAGCTCCATGTAAGGCTTGACGTTGATGTCAAGCTCTATACGGATTCCAATTGCCTTTTTCCGCCATGAGCTCAAGCTGCGATGTTCTATAAGACGGTTGCTGGGGCTGTTGTGGCTCCAAGTTCGCTACAGACACTGCCGCTTTGAAATTCCGACCGCTCTCCAACCGTTCGGAGAAGACGGTGTAGACGGTATCGACTGAAACCTTCATTTCGACTGCTTCGTCACTTCGGCCCAGGTATACCGACATGTTGCTCCTAAACGATGGATGCTATGCCAACTTGTACACAAACCAGACAAAGGCCGGCAGCCAACCGATCTCGATCGCGCTCTCTCTCTCTCTCTCTCTTTCTCTCTCTTTTCCGCCTCTCGCTTGCTCGGCATGTTGGATTAGTTTCCGCAATTGGCCGTTAGGGCCTGCATTTCTTTGCATTTCTAGCCTTTTCGTGCCCCTTCAACATGTGTAGTCGTGTATGGTCTCCGAACTAATGGTCTTTAGTCGATTTCCTCTTTTGGTCTGTCTCAAGGCTGCCTGTTCGAAGGAAGGTGGTGGCTGTGCCATCAACCATTCGGTGCGAGTGAAAGAAATTCCAACGATTCGACCAATAGGAATTTGCATGGTTGTCACCCACATGGATTGGTGGTGGGGCAGCCTTGTTGAATCTAGACAAGTGCGCAAGGCCATGTCCATCAATCGTTCTCATCATTCTCCACGACTCCCAATTCTGGATTTGTCACCTGCTTCCTTGTTTATCTCAAATCAGCCCTCAAGCCTCGTGGAGCAAAAATGCCCTCGTGGTTCACATGGCGTTAGAATTGAGGGAGGCCGAACACCATGGCCTTCGCTCGGTGTCAAAAGCCTCGGGTGTCACCGTGACGCGCATGGCGGAGTCACGTGCGGTCTCGTGCGTCCTCGCGCCGCCGAATCGGGAGAAAAGGACCCCTTGGCTCGGTCGGTCTTTTGTCCTTAGCTTTCCACTTTTCCGTCTCAATTGAGGGAGTAAGCTACTAGCTACATCTAGCTACATCTAGCTACTAGTTCGCTTCCAGCTGGACGCAGGATAGCAAGAACGCTTCTTTGGAAGAAGCGCACGTTCCATCCGCACTCTTCCAAGTTTGGTTGAAAGAATCGGCCCGGCGGCGAGGCTTTCAAGGTGAGGATCGTGGGCTTCACCGGAGTCTCCAAGTGCCGAAACGGATGATGCTCGGAGCTTCCGGCGGAACGCGGCTCCCCTTGGGTCCAGATGGGTCGACTCGTTTGAGGCCAAGCTGCTTGTGAAAGGAGTTGGGTTGGAACAAGGAGTTGGGTTGGAAGACCAGTTCCTGATTCCTGTACAACACCAAATTCAATTATAAGGATTTATTCAGGCCTTTTCAAAGTTCTTCACTTCGATGCACCTTCCATGTTTGGTTTTGGGAGTTCTACTATTCTACTCTTTGAGGGAACCGCCGGGAACCCTCCACGGGATTCACAAGGGCTGGTTAGTGGACACCGTAGATGAACAAGTGAACACCTGGCCTTCAAAATCAGGTACGATGTCTACGACTACACGGACGCCTGCCACACACTCTATCGCCCAAAGAGGAGGGCCCTCGGCTCGGACAGATCGGCTCGGCTCGTTCCATTGGGCCGCCAAACGAATTCTCGCTGCTTCGCTTGTGCTCAACATGGAGTGATGAGTGAATGTTCAATAAGTGTGGGAAAAACACAGCACTTATACTATCTTATACTTGCAAGCACTCAATTGGCACTAGAATCTTTCATATTTATATACTAATCATGTATACAGTAGATTATAGTAGCACTCCAATTTCTCGCCAGAACAGTTAACCAGGTGTTGGTGGTTCTGGTATGGGTCCTTGCTTGCTGTTGGCACCGTGTCTCAAACGAAAAACCGTCCGCTGGGCGAACCGGGCGTTCAGGACCTTGAATGAGGGGCAGTGTACGCGCTTCGCAGTGGGCGGTGCCGGCCTGACAACGGACTGGGATTGGGTGCACCGGTGATGCCCTGACCACTTGGACCAAGTTGAGCTTGGGGCCCGACAGGCCCGACATCTCTCAAAGCGTGCGTGAAACACCAAGACGATTGGGGGGGGTAGAGGACGCTACTAGGAGCAAAGGGTATCGCTACTAGGAACAAGGACGCTACTAGGAGCTTTTTCAAGCGGACGATTGGGTGGGAGGGTTTCAATGGGGTCATGTCACCGCCCAAACTGTGGCCGTTTTCACCCCAAAAGCCACTGAGGCTACTTTGCCGAGTTGCGAAGCCGCCTGAGATCCTCCACATGTGTGGTGCTGTCCTTGGAGAGCAAAACAACTGTTCGAGTGGCCATCCAAAATCCCTGGGAGAAGACGAACTCTTCGATGCAACAAAAGCATCTTAGGAAGGACCAAGTTGTTGTATTCTAATCGGATTGCAACACCTTGTATGGAATCCGGTGAAAGAAATTGTAGACTTTCGTAGGCAGTTTTCAAATCTTTGGCTTGCAGAGCGGTAGGGGAAATTGCAGCACAGATCGATTTCGATCCGTGCGCGGCCACATCCAATGAAGCGGAAACGGCTCGATGCCATCAGATCGAAAGGAATATATATATATATACATATGAGAAGATGAGATCAACCTTTTTAGAGTTTTCAGAGGTATCTACTCTTACATGTTCCTGCTTTTCCAAATGAGACCAACATGACATACATCTCCTCTAGACGAGAATTGGACGTTGTTTCTCACCATTTGGTGACGAGTATGCAATAGGTGTATTGGGGCAACAAGACCGCTGGACATTTGCAATCTCCCCACCAAAACTCCTACGTCGCTGAAGCATGTTAGAGATGTTGAAGTTCCATGGCCACCCGGCGACTAAGACAATTTGCAAATTTGTATCCATTTATAGACATTTTACTTCCAGATTGCAGGCAGGGCCCTTTCCACGTTTCTCGGTGCAAAAACCTGTTAGTCGGCCAGGGCGACAGCTGCTCCCGCATGGCGGCCACTGGGCGAAAAAAAAGGGTCGGAGAGACGGAAAAACGGGTTTCATTGACCAGGGGCGAAGAGGGGTTAGACCTGAAGAAAAACATATCACTTATTCGGGTGACGAAGAGGTATTCCATTTCCAACTGTTGTTTTTTGTGAATTTGGGGGGTGATTCTTATGGTTTCGTCGAAGCACCGAAGCACCTTGCACATCCATCGTGAGCTGAATTTGTGGGAGCTTTAGCAAGCGGATGCTGTTTGTTTTAGTGTTCTGCTCGGTCGTGAACGCCATGGAACTGTCCCACGGCTGCCCGGCCCGGCCCGCTCAACGTCCGTCCATCCGTTTTGGTCCACCGGTGTTTTTTCTGCTCGACTTTCGAGGTGACAACGCAGAGGTTCTATTCCGAAGCGAATTGCCTGGGCTTGCCGTACCAGGCGGAGCAAGCTTTCAACCGAGAATTGGATGGGTTCCCGGGTGGAACTGAGAATGCACCGCTTTGGGATGGTGTGGATTGAGAACTGTACGCGGATGTGCTAAAACCATCTAAAACTAGGAGCAAAGGGCATCGCTCCTAGGAGCAAGAACGCTACTAGGGGCTCCTGGCCGTACTACTAGGAGCAAGGACGGTACTAGTAGCAAGAAGCTACTATGTCTATGTTGGGATGTATGCATTTACGGCACACATGGCTTCGGCTTCGCAGTTCTCAGGCCTGTCCTTTGTTCAGACATGTTCTGGATGAAGATGCTCCAGACATGGTCTGGAACCATCAATTCACACGACCTGAACCAAAGTGGATTTGTTTGCAATGCTTTTCGTGGATGGTGGAAAGCCTGCGCTCCTTGCCAGATTTACACCTATCCTGTGCAGACAGAGTGCATGCGATGGAGTAACGGTACGCAGGCCAGCCGAGAAGTGGGGCAGAGGCATTGTTGACATGTTGAATGTACAGAGGGTACCCAAAACATCCAAATCTACATAAAAGGTAAAACACAATGACATATAATCATATATATATATATTCATATATATATATACATCGATAATTAAACAAGCAAACATTACATAGTAATTACTACATAATCAAAACAATACACACAATAGAATATGTCTTGGATATGCTTGTCGATTGGGGATATACAAGCATTGAAGAACTGCATCACTGTATCCTCCGCAAGTCATTTACAACAGCAGAAGTTCCAATCCGACCACGCTCGCCTCCTCTGATCAATTTTGAATGCTTGTTTTGTTGTTTGGGTATGTGAAAAACGCAGGCAGAGGAGGAACATGGAGCAATAGATTCATCCAGTGCTGGTGAATTCATTTTGAGTCAGGCCGCGTTGAGGTCACATGTGTCCACCCAGTTTTTGGGAATGACATTCTCTTCTTCATTCTTCCTGCACCGGTCGCACGCGTCCGGTGGTCGCCAGACCTTCCGCGTGGATCCGACCACCACCAACGTCACGCAGGCGGCGGGAACATGTGGTGGTTCCAGGGGCGTTGGTTGTCAAAGTGATGGGTTTTTTGGATGGTGATTTTGTGAGCATGAGACTTGGAGCTCTTGCACACATTGAACCTTCACTCTTCGCCAAAAGGGTGTTCTGAATGCCATTCCAAAGGCATTTTCTGACGTGACTGTAGTGACTGCAGTGACGTCCGCCGAAATGGGCAGCTCCCTTCGCCAGCCGCTGGACATGAAGGACTGAAGGACCGAAGGACCCCACCGTGATTGGACGAACAAGGACCGCTACTTGGTACGAGTCTACAGTCTTATCCAAGGTGATGCAGAAGACGAATGATACAGAATGATGGCATCCGTTTTTGTCGCTTTCGATGTGGTGGGTGTATATGAAGACAGCACATCACTCTGACACATGAAGCTGTTTTTTCATTGGGTTTTGGGTACCTGCTCAGGTTGACTACCTTGTGAATGACAAGTGCGGTGGTGACAATGTCAGGCGTTGCTTCCGTTGGGCTTCCGTTTCGACGCGGTGTTGCTTTTTCGAGACATCATGGAATCATAGATGGGACGTCCAGTGGATATACAGACAGACTATCCGCAACGGCCGAGGGACAGTGACAGGACAAGTGGACAAGATGCCTAGAACTGCTTGGGGTTTGTCTCAACGCCCCCCAACACCGCGACCAATAGTCTGGGTCCGACAAGCAAGATCAAAAGTTGATGCGGAACTCAGCGTCGGAGCTCCGGTGAACCCCAAAACACCAGGCAGGTGGTTCTGTGAAGCTTCACCTGGCCAAGGAATCTGTGTAGACAATCGAATCTGGACTTCACAAGCTGCCTGCCCTGGCTATCCTTATCCAGGATCTATGTCATGAGCGTGGGTTACTGCTACGAGCTTTATCCTGATAGAGCTCCTCGCAGTTTCAAGTGGGAGGCGCGGTCGGGTTGCTCCGGGGCCACGGCGGAAGACGCGCCCAGCAGCGGCGAAATGGGTCGCGCTTCCAATCCGGGGAGGGGATTGGTCCGAAGGGAGGGCTTAAAGACGGTCCAGAGGCGATCGGCTTTGAGATCTTGGAGTCCACTGGGTGCAACGAGTTAGTCCTCCTTTTGGACAGATCAGAATTGGTTCCTTTGCCGTTTCGCACATCGGAATTGACAGAGACCGAAGGGCGTGACTTTTCGGAGAAAGGTGGAGAGATACGACGCGACCGTGGTGGCGGCGACCTGGAGGCGCGTGAATGTGGACGGATCCGGAAGGCTCCGAGTGGAGAGCAGGCAGCAAAGCTTCAGGATCGTGTTTATTTTTTATTGTTTTTTTCACAGTTACAGTATATTATAGGCTAAAACAATCTAAAGCATGTTGAAACTCTCATGATTGTCCTGCGGTACAGATTAGGATCAGTATAGCTACTCGGCGCTGTCATGGTTTTTCCCTTCCAAGGGGTGAAACTGTGTCACAGGCCCGTGGTGCTCCCAATGCTGGCTGCTCCAATGGCGTGGGCCCTGAGGGCTCATGGAGATGCAAAACGGCCAAATCATTCCTGAATCTTCCAACCAGACCATGCAACATTTCTGTGTTTTTGGCAGTTTTTTATGGATGAGCTGGCTGGTTTTATGGTTGGAAGATCCACAAAAACACACACATATGTGCACACAATCGCATGAAGCGCCCAAAGCTTCACATCACTCTCCATCATGGTGCATCACTGTATGTCAATCACTTCATTCTGCATAGGCGTAGCGCTCCGTGGGTAGAATACATGGTTGGTTGGAGCTTGGGACAAGATGAAGAGTGGACGAGCTAGTCATTCTGCAAAGGTCCTTTGTCGCTTTCAAAGCGTGGCTTCCGGTGGGTTAGATGAAGTCCTGTCACGTCGGACGGTTCCTGGAGTGGTGAGACTTGGGTTGAGACCATTGAGACCGAGACACCATATCGCATCAGATCTGGCAAGAACTCATTGGACCCTCTTCACATGGAAAGCTGCCAAACCCACCAACTAACTGGGAACGCTCTTGCCGCGAGCGCTTGAGGCTGGTGCGCTCTTGCACCCAGACTTCTGACGCTCGCCAAGACGGTGAGCTTGGTCGGGTGAAACACACAGCTTTCATCGGTGACTGGTGTTCGGCGATGAGTATCTCCAAGGGAGGTTGATGAAGCCTACGGCCGCCATGGCCCATTACACAGGTACTTCAAGCTTTCTGGATCTTAGGGCATTCGTGATCGATCACTGAGTTACATGAGTGGCTTCAGCATCGCCAATGATCAATGCGCCAGATACTGCAAATGTTTCACGGTTGTGCGCCCGCTGCAACGGTTTAGCAAGAACTCCTTCATCCTCTCCGTCTTTCCTTGAACATGCAAGGCAAATGTTGGTAGCCACAAGAGGAAAAACATCCAATAACTCCCGGAGACGGCAGTTGCAGCATGGGCCGCACCGGCTAGCAGCAATTTCGCATTGCTGCGCTGTGAAAAGAAGGATGTGCGTTTATGTTTTGTTTTTTTCTGGCTTGAGTCGCAAGCTCTGCTCGTAAAGGTTTTGCTAAGTTAATTTCCAATGGCTCCCTTCAAGCAAAACTGATGCCATATGTTGCCATCCATGTCCCACAAAGGATGCAATCCACAGTCAACACGATGTTGTTTTTCTTTGCCCTTTCGTCGAATTTCCCCTTCGACTCGACAGTCAACACCGTGTTTTTCAACTCAATCTGATCGCGGACCTTTTCCCCGACTCGTTTTGAAGTTATTTGAACTCTGTTGTTCTTTTCTTTAGGAACTTTTTGACCCTTTGTGCCTCTGTTTTTTAGGCCGCTGACCCTTCGACCTTTCGAAGTCCGGAGACTCTTCCGGACGTCGTATGAAACCAATGTTTTGTTGGCCGATTCTCTTTCTCTGACTGGTCGACTTGGTGGAATCCACAGCTTGTCGGTATCCACAACTTTTTGGACTTTGCGGGTTCTAAGCGGAGACATTCATTGGTGCAGGTATGAATGCTCTTGGAAGAACAGTCACACAGTTTCGAGTTCTGGCGTTTCATAATGTTGAAACTTGTTGCAGTTTGAGTTTTGGAAGATAAGAGTGACAGTGACACCATCTTGCGTTGCTCAACCCTGCCATTTAACCTTTGAAGCCGACGCTACAGAAGGCAACAACAGCAGATGGCTTTTGTTGAAGTTAAGCTTCCTGAAAGTCTCGGAGCCAAATGAATAGAAGCGTGAGCTATCCTGAGTCCATGTAGTAGCTTCCCATTGCCAGTAGCTTACTTCTCCCTTAATCAAAGTAGGCGCCTACTTAATTAAGGGCGGGCTAAGGCTTAAAAGAAAGCAAACCAAGAGGTGAAGAGATTGAAGGCCGTCAATATCACTTCGCCTTTTAGAGGTAGTGAAGGCCGTCTCTTTTCAGCTGCCCCCCGCCGCGTCCGCGTCCGAAACGAAGACGCCACGTCCACCGGCCCCGAGACCGGGAGCAAACGGACCTAAAGGCGTGGGCGTGGAAGGTGAGCCGCCTGCATGGCGATGTATTTTGTCGATTTTTGATGATTTTTGTAGAGACGCCCAAGGAAGGGAAACACCGTGCACAATCCAAAGTAGTTGAGTAGTTCAATTCCTCAACACAGCGCGTCAGTGGACAGCATTGCTGTAAATGAATCCTCTATCGCAGCAGTCATGGATAGACTTGGGATATCAGGTTGCGCAAACTCTAGAAGTTCAACCTCGCAACTAACAAGCACAGACTTCAACACAACGAGTGAAACTCAGCCCAATTATACCACAACTTGCAAAATGCCCGGCCCCGGGAATCTGGCGATAAACACAGCAAGCACATATATATATATATGCACATACATATTATATATATATACAGCAAGCATCAGTTTTCACGCGTGTACAACGAGATAGAAGCTTTCCTCGTTGGATCAATAGATGGATAGAAGGTTGGGTCGGTCGGTAGAGGAATGCTATAGTGCTAAAGTCAGTGCAACAAGTTAAGGGAGCCAACCTTTTGTCAGATGCGTATGAACAAGGAACCGGGATGCACCAGGCTATACAAACCTTTGAAGGAGGAAACTGTTGTTCCATGTAGTTCCGTCCGCCATAGCGATGGACCGGAAAACGACTTCGAACATTTAACAACCTGAAGACTTTGGAACTTTCTACTGCAAGAGCTTCACACTTTGTTCTTGTTTATTTTTCACTTTTTCAATCTTTTTGGGTTTCTAATTCTCTCAATGCTCGGAAGTAGGATGAAACCAACATCTCGGCGTATAAGGGTATGCATTTTTACCAGCGCAGCTTTGATCTTACTCCAGTACATACCAATATCTGAATGAAACTATTTCCAAATCACAATCTGAAAATCCTCGTTCAACATGAATCCCAGACCATGACCATCTTCTGTACATAGTGCCCCTCGATTATCCTGCCAGCATTTAAATCTAGATCTGAACAACCGTTCTTTGCAAACTCTCTGCTGCTGTATTTATTTCAGCTCTTGCATTGGCCATGTTAGGGCAAGACACATGATACATTCGATCTGGACGATGGGCCAGGCAGCACCACTGTTTCTTGATCAGGGAAGCACAGCACATCGGTACGCACTTGCTGCAACTTGGTCCACCACACCCAACATCTCACCATGGGTATCGCCCACCCCACTATTGCTCTTATTTTGATTGGGTGGGGCCCAGGCCCATCACAGTGGGCCCATCGCAAGGTAAATCTCCCTGATTCAAACCTACTATGGGTGAAGAAAGGGAGGGAACGGTTGCAGTCTACCTGGCCCACAAAGCAAGTTCTCTTTGGTTTGGCATCCTTGTTGTCTTAAGATGTAGTCAGGAGCTGGGGCTACTCACTACCCCTCCCATCTCACAACCCCCAACCTCACAACCCTCCTCAGTTTTCCCTGCTCCGATGGCATGTCACCTTCCGGTGCTTTGGCTCCTTCTTTTCCTGCTGGACACTCAGAGTCGGAACAAACGGTTTCTGGTCCTGCGAGTCGACCATATATATATATATATTATATTTATGCACACGTGCAGTTAACATAACTCGGAACGACTCCCCGGCACCTGAGAGTTTGGCACGATCTTCAGTCGTTGGGGCCGCCGGCCGCGGTCACGGCCAGGCCATGGTACGAGGCGAGGGACGCGCCGGCCGAGAAGAAGGAGGTGCGAGGACGCAAGTTGAAATGGAGGTGAGACCCATGGGGATGAACCAAAGCCCGCAAATTTTGGAGTAGGAAGGATTTTGTTTTGTGCTATAGAACCATATAGGGTTCTAAGGGGAGCTATGTGGAGATGACAGAGGACTCCTTTCAACAGACGGGCACTTTGGGATGGTCAGAAACACAGTCAGAGGAGCAATTTGTCAAGACGCTGCCCCGAATAGCTCTCCAAGTTGTCCTGAAGATTCTCCTAAGCTTCTATGTTTAGCACAATAGATATAACTATGTAATAAATACATCTATAGTATATACATAGAACGTTTGGCACGTCGACCTGGCGAACCGTGGCGGGATCGAGAGACGAGAGACATCTTCCGCAGCGGGGGCCGTGGCGGCCGCGGCAGGTTTTGGTGAAGGAGTTGGTGTTGGATAGTGCTGTGGTCGATATTGTGCCTGCGCCTAAGATGTTGCGCCAACCAGAGAGCTCGGGGGCGTGAAAGAGTTCATGCCAGACTCAGCTGGGTTTGTCTCAAACCAATCAGGATGCTTCAGTTTTCAGGATTGCAGCTATTGAAGGCTTGTAACTAATAGATTGGTGGCACGCAGCCTGTGGCACGCAGATCTGTTTCCACCCTTCCGAAGCTTCCCCATCAGAGCTTCTTCAGCAGGTATTTGGGCCAGAAGCACGAGTGTCTGCTGCTGACCACAAAGAAGCAGTGCCCTGGCAGATGTTGAACTCCACACTCGGTAGTGTTGGTTGTTTTTTTTTGCGGTCGCCGATGGGATGGGTGGCATCACAACACTTGGCCCAGCAGCGAACACATTGGGTTGGAAAGCGGAAGTGTATAGGCACCAAGCGCCCGGGCCACGCCGGACCAGGCGGCTTTATTCAAGCTGCGACAGTGGTCAAAGCTGGCATGAGATCACGGACAAGGCGCCTGGATAGGGTGCAAAATTGCAGCAGGGGCAGTGTTTCTGGTGGGCTATTCAGAAGCCAAGATGCTGCCGGACACCTGGTCAAACTGCAAGTCCTGTCTCTTTGGACTTCAGAAAATAGGACCCTCGAAGGTCTACACGTTTTGGGGAACCGCAAACGTCTGCGGGCTGGATCTTCGGCAGTGCCACGTTGATGCTGCGAAACGAAAGGCGAAGGAGACTGGTCTAGTAGGCACGAAGGACACCCAGTCCTGGAGATATTCGTGGGCGAGAAACTGCCATGGCTGGTAAGTAAGGACTAGTAGCGTCCTTGCTCCTAGTAGCGATGCCCGTTGTTCCTAGTAGCTTCAGTAGTAAGGCCAGGAGCTACTAGTAGCGGGCCAGCTTTGACCACCTCTCTGCTAGGAATCCTTTGTCCGCTAAAACTCTTGGCATCAAACAGCACATGGACAGATTTGGCGCATCGGAGGTGGATACGACTCCGTCCTCCCACATTCGGGTGGAGAAGATCATCGTGAACTCGCCTGGAGAGCCTAGTTCTGCTGGACGCGTGAGTGACATGTGTGGAGCCGTAAGGGAGGGTAGTTTTGGGTCAAGAGGTCCGCTTTCAAAGAGTTGTTAAATAGACTACTACTATATTACATGGTCGTGTCTAGTTTTAGAAAGGGGAGACAAGTAGACAGCCAAACCCGTTGGGCCACAAGGGGGGAGACAAGTAGACAACCAAACCCGTTGGGCCACAAGGGTCTCATATCCATTCAATTGAGAAAGTGGGTGTTGGTAGGGATGTAAATTGCTTGTCAGATGCTTAAACGTACTGTAGTTTACAGTGTTTGATGTATGTCATAGGCTCAAACACACAGTATAGCACACATTTGTGTTGGAAATCAATTGCAATCACAGGCACTTAAACGACATTTTAGACATAAAAAGGACCTTTCAAGGGTATTTACAGGGATCAAAAGTTATATAGAGCTTAAAAGGAAATTGATGGTGACCCCAAGGAGAATGGTGACCCTGGCCTTGCGCTCGCCTCTACTCTGACATCTTCATCGATGGTCAAACCAACCAGATTAGATCTAGGTGACATCCGCCAATGCAGAAAAGTCGGAGACAGTGGACTGGACTCCTGATCTGGGTTGCAATCTGATCAGCGCGTTCTTGAATTTCTCCCTCAGCGGCTGCGTCTCTGAGAATAACTCAAGTTGTGTCCAGTGCCCCTAAAGAACCTTAGATATAGCAGGCCCAAATATTTTTGTGGAGACACAAACATAAAATAGACTTAAAACTTTGCAAAAAAGGTATGTTACTTTTAAGATAAACTCTTGGAATATCGAATACGTACCGGCGTGCACGGCTTGGCAGCAGTCACTGCTGCGTTCAGAGGGGCCCTATTGCAATTGTTATGTGTTTTGGCAGGGAGTTCAACACAGTGTGTGAAAAGCGTAGACATCATTGCAGGGAGTATTGGTAGTAGCAGAATCATACCAGAGCAAATTTCTTGACACGACTTGAGAGGGCAATATTGATTAAACATGGAAAAGCGTAGACATGAATCCACGGGTCCTACTATTAAACCTAAAAGGGAAGCGTTACTACAGGGGTTGTATTATTCAAGGCTTCTAGTGCGCTGGGCCACCTCCTTGTGCAATAGAGTTTGTTGTACTAACTTGAGAAGAAAATCAAGGGATTCAATTTCCAAACGCCATCTAAACACTTAAGAGATATCAATGAGTCAAGAACAATTAAAACACAATGCAACAGGGATTGAGAGGAACGGAACTTACAACGAACTTAAAAGGAATCAACATCACTTCAAGGGGAAAACGACTGGGTTTAAAATGATTTTTGCAGGAAATCACCTGGAACCAAAAGGAACTTAAAAGGAAACCGTTACAAACCAGAAAGGTTTCTAGGGGGATGTGGGGACTCCAAGAGTCCCTGAATATTGTTTGTTGTTTTTTTGCTTTAAGGTCTTTTTCTTTATATCTTTTCGATGGGTTTTTGATTTTGTTGAGGTTTTGGCAATGTGAATGTTTTTGAATGAATAAATTTGTTTATGGATTGCTTGTTTCTTTCCAATGGGGAGTAGACACAGATGATGCCAGATTCGCACTGTCTAGGCATTTTATGCGGCATTTTGCATATTTTTGAGATGGTCAGCAACAACAATTTGTTTTGTGCGTTTGAGCCTATGACATACATAAACCACCGTAATTTACAATGTTTTATTGCACATTACCATAGGAATGTACATCCCTTGGAACACCCCTTCTGTTGGCTCATTACACCATGACACCAACAAATGGTTTTCCAATTTTTCATGATTCTGTAGTCTTTGGCTGGGAGCGTCGGGAAAGGTGGAAAACAGATTGCCTACAAGATCAGCTTGACGGCTTTGCTTGGTGACGTTTTACATGGATGACGATTTTTGATTCAGGGATTCCTCCAAACAGACTCGTGGCTGTTGGCCATTGGCAGGGCTGACAAGACGGTGGCCGTGCTCCAAACTCAGCGTCGTGTGGACAACCGTGGGTGCGCGACCAGAACGCTTTCGTGCGGATGGGCGGGGATGAGGGGCTCAGGGCAGCCGTGGGTGAGATTGGGTGAGTCGGTGCTTGGATACTTAAGACATAATAAATCATGACCTACTGTATCCTACTGTAAGGGACATATGATGATGGATCATTGTTTGAGGGAACACATGGCACAGGAACAACGCAGCCTTTTCATTGCAGAATAGTAGGACTTTTCAAAGGCCGGTGACTCAACGCACCCGAAGCTGTGACTCAACGCACCCGCCACGCGTCCACTGGGCGACCGTCACACCGTCACACCGTACGCTCAGTGCCTCGGGAACTTCTGGGCGCTCATTGGTTTGGCAGGGCTTGCGCTCCCCATTTGGAGTAAGACATCTACAACTACTGATCGCAACATGTCGAGTACTTTCAGTGAGTGGAGTGCACAACAAAGAAATGTGTTGGTGCTGTCGTCATTCCTTGTCACAAATCTGTGGATGGCTGAAGAGCCAGCTTGCTGCCTGCTGAATCCCAAGCGGGATTGCTGTCACGGCAGCGCAAGAGCGCAGCCAACGCAGTCAAGGATTATAGAAAGCTACAGAATAGATCAGAAGCATGCTTGAAGCATGTAGGAAGCTTGAAGGAGACCTGGCCGGACCCTTTCTTTGCACGCGAAGCTACCACCAGCTCTGCGGTTTTCTCTAAGCTGCGACGTGCTGTTCCAAAGTTCTATGCCAGACAGTGGCATGATGAGCTCAACTTTGCTTCCGCGAACCTCAGCTCCTCGAAGCCAATGATCTGGCATCTTCCATGTCCAAGAAGAACAGGGCTCCGGACAGCTGGAAAGTTGAACACTTACGATTTGGCAAATGCTTAGACTTGCAACACATAGCATAGCTCGAGCCTGCCTGATTGCTGGTAGAGGCCCTTGGCTTGGCTTCCATATGCGCGGGCGTATCGCCGCCAGGATTCTTGGCATTCTGCCATGTGCCGAAGCTAAAGACCTCGCAGATCAATCCAGGGTCACCAACAACCATCGCGTCATAAGGCCCCTTTTCGTTTTTTTCCTTTTACATTATTTCTTGGTTCCTGGAAGGCCCTCTTTTCCGCCGTTCCGGTTCACCGCCGAGCGCTCCCCCTCACGTTGAACTCAGCCGTCGGCCTCGCCGGCTGCTTGCCAGAGCTGGTGTCATCGACCCGGCCTCGGCGTCCGCGCAAAGCTGGCATCCCTACATCTTCATCTCGGAGGAGCGAGAAATCAAGCGACGGAGTGACGGTCGCCGTGAACACGTCTGACTGTGTTCGTCAGAGTGTGCCTCCCAAGAAGCAGGTCACAGGTCATGTGGATGGTCATCAAAAACCTCCAAGCAGACTTGGTGACTGACTACCTGGGGTCGAACGATTTGGGGGGGACTTGGGGTGACCTTCCAAATTTCGTCGAAGTCTTTGGGCCATTTTGGGGCGTTGGTCATCGTTGGTTTGTGTGGTTCAAGGCTCCGCAGTTGCGCCCGATCTCATGCCGGAGCTCTCCAGGATTCCGGCCGCACCTGGCGGAAAGCTTGGGGTCGGCAGTGGCGCCGGCTTAGACTTGGACCCCACGTGGGCATCGGGTGGCCGTAGCTTCGGTTCCCAAAGGGGGGAGGGCTCCCATCGAGGAAGGAGCGACCGAACCAGATCCGTTTTGAATGACCGGGTGCTGTTGAACTCTTTTGAAGGACTCAGCACAGTTTCTTTCAAAAGAGTGTGTCTAGACCATTTGCTGTCTAGAACAGCCCATTTGCATCCATTTGCAATGAATGTCCCATTGGCTGAATGACCCAGTTGAATGACCCATTTGCTGTCTGGAACAGCTTGTGGACGACGCCGAAGATCGCCCGAAGCCGAAGCCTTCGTTCTCGTGACCGGTCTCACGCTTGCGTGTAGATCCTGCGAATGGGACCCTCGAGCCGACACTGATTTTGATTGAGAGTGAATCAGGGTCCCAAAGGTCCAAAAAGACCACGCAATACTTTCCTTCAGGACTTGTGGGGGTGTGCTCATATCTTTTAGTATTTTCTTTATCATATTATGAATGACCCTGCCAGCCCAAGGGAAGATTCTTACTTCCTCATATATCCAATCGTTTTTTTGCCCACCCTGTCAGCGGCGGTTCACTCGGTCACCGGTGACGCTCGGTCGCTCGCGCTTCTGCGCCAGTCATGGCCTGCACAGCTGGATCCCGCATCCCACCCGCCGGGTGCGCCGGGATCGGCGGCGCCACGGCTGACCCGCCCGCCCGCTGACGCGATGGTCGGGGTGTTCGGTAGCGATGATGAAGCGCCTCGATGTTGAGGCGGTGAGCGATCCTTTTTTGGGGGGGATTTTTCGTTCTCACTTGAAGAGGACCATAGATGACCTGTAAAGTGGGGAAAGATGAAATTTGCTGCTGTAAAGATTCGTTTTGCCGCCTTGATGGGGAACATTATCGGGTTTGCCCACTGCTCATCGGCGCCAATTCTGCGAACACAATGACTTGGTGCAGCAATCCAGTTTTTAGATGTGGTTGTGTATGAGCTGGCTCAGGACCGAACCTCTATATAACTCTTCATGAGGAGAATGAGGCGAAGGGCCAAGGGTATTCAATATTGTACAACTTCTCCACAGCAACTGAACCGACCCCCCAGCTGTAGTTGGAGGTTCAGCACTCCCATCTACTCCCCCCGGTGGCCACCAGCCGCGCGGCCGCCAGTCTTGGGCCTTGGTCTCCTGGTGGAACGGCGCCTGTAGCAAGGCCCCTGACCGTCAGTGGCCATCGGTGGTTGTCGGTGTCGAGCCACGCTGTGGGACCGGGGTTGTGTGAGGAGATGCCGTGGGACCGGAGGTCAAAACGGATGTCCAGGTAGATGAATGACACGGAGTCATAGAGGATAAACGGATGAGCCGAATGTCGATTTGAATCACTTTTTCTTCTCACATGAGCTCACATGGAGTCATAGAGGTGAAAGGCACGTGTGCTTTGCAGAGAAATGGAAAACTGGCAAGGTGTTTCATGAAGACTTTCTTTGATAATCAAACGTGCAGTTTTGGTTCCCCACACTTGATGGAAACATTACGAAACTTCTGCATTTCTCTGGGAAGAGGTATTTTACTATATTTTACTGCTATGCCTATTTGTAGTTTTGATATGGATATGCTGATAGGGGACGCCCACAAAAGATCACACAGCGATATCCTCAAATGAGACTGTGTGGACTCTCCTGCCAATTCAAAAACGGGATGTCCTTATTTTTGTTTGAAGATGACAACTTTCTTCAGACTGAGACTACTTATGACTAAGATCAAGGACAGGAAAGCTTGAGTCTGGGCTCACATTATGTATATAATTATAGATAATGCTTTCTTTTTAATGGTGGTGCAAGAGATTCATGATCAGCGGATCGAAAGATGGCTCGATCTGGTGGACGTTCACTTGAAACCGTTGAGGGAACCATGTCCACAACACCAGGCCTCAGGGGGAGAAATTGAAGGCGCTTCCGACGACGAGGAGACCCGGCACATGGATGCACACGGGGGTGTGGGGAGGTGGGGGGAGCTGTGGAGGGGTGGAAGGGGATGTTTGTACCTGCCATCCCCAGACCATCCTCAAGGTGGAATGGAACTCAAGAGCTCCTCACACAGAAAACGAATCGGAGGTCCGACGTCAAGTGGCTCATGAACACTGTGCCACTCTTCAGCTGTTGCAAATCAGTGCACCCGCAGCCTCACATGGGCCATGCTCGCAGTAGAAATAGTGCAGACAGCACATGACATGTGCATACACGTGCAGGTTTTTGTGTTGGATTGCCATTTGATTGTACGGACATGGCCATTTGCTGTACACACATGCCATGCATTGCCCTGTGCGCTACCAGTTGCTGCCTTGTTCTTGCTCGCCAACTGTGAACATACGTCTTCCCCATCGCCGGAGCCATCGACACCGTCAACACTGGTCAGAATCGCCCAGTCCTCGAGGCAAAGAAAGCTGCGAAAGATGCTTCGAAGGAGGGAGATCCTGACAAGGACAAGGCAGGTGAGTTGCAGACTGGAGAACTGGAGACTGGTCATGAACACCAGCTTGAACACCAGCAGCACTGGTGTTTCGATGCGCATCACTCAGATGGGGTTGATTAATCAGCCCAATGTTTCTGATGGAATGCTTGCCGAAAAACCATGTCCAGACGGGTGCGAAGGGGCTTTGAGTCTGCACAAACACTCACCTCTAAGTTTGAAGGTGAAGGCACTCTCCTTGTGTCTTACCTTAAAAAACATTCTAGCATTTTCAATCTGGTGTGATCCTTCGCGATCTAGTCTAGTGTTCCTTTTAGGCTTTAATCCAGGTCCGTATCCAACAACTTGCCCAAGTGCCTAAATTCTTCTCCAGGTGGATGGTGTTTCATCTCTCCTGTGAACTTTTTGTGTGAGCCTTTGACTTGATGAAAGCAGCCCACGACATGGTTTGAACGTCTCCCTGCCCCTCCGATCCCGGGGTCTGCCAGCCGTGCATGCACCGGTTGATGCTGACCACCGACCTGGGGAAGCGGGGATCCCTAAATCCGGTGGGGGACGGCAACAAAGGCAAGCACCATGGTACGTATCCAAGAGTTTGTTGAGTCCAGCTTTGTGGTCTCATGTCATACCAAGTCCATGTTTATCAAAAGTTTTGAGTTGTGTGTTGAGCTTTGTTCCTCACTTTGAAGCACAGAAGATGGCATCGCAGCTTTGCGGTCGCAATCTGGCACTTTAAAATGCTTTCCGGGGCTTGGGTCCGAAGATAGCCGATAGCATACTTTCTGTGCCGAGTACTCAATGTCCTCGATCCTCCTATTTCTTTCTTGACGGTGGGTTTGCGAGAGGATTTTCATTTTGAGTCGTTAAGAATTTTCAATGACCTTATCTCATGGTGGACTACAGTAGCCTGGATGTTGCCTTGCCGTAGCCACTGAAAGTCACTTGGCAAGATCATCCTACTTGAGCGGAAAGCGGGAGATCTTTCAAAGCGTCGTTGGGATTCAGCGCCGCATCACTACACGACAGACACCACAGATCCATGTGGGCTGCAGATCAGGACCTTCTTGCAGATCGCCCCGTATGTGGTCCAATTCAGCTGGGGCAGCCCGAAGATCAACCAGTCCGATCGGGCGGGGCGCCGTGGGGTGGGATGGGCGGATGGGCAGATTTGAGGCCGGTTTTGCTGATGGATTGTTGGTGGTTTGCCGCATGTGCGGATGCCCCCTCAATTTGGTCTTTCCATCTGATTCTCCTTCTTTTGATACGCAAGGCTGCGGCTGCCATTCTGCTTCAGGTGTGCAAAGTTGTTTTGAGGTGCCAGGAGGCACCAGTGGATGGTCTTTGCAAGTTGCAGATTTCCTCCGTTTCCGTCTTCGCTTTCGAACTGGCCAGATTTACTACACTGCCTACGCCTCAAAGACGGGCGACCAGGGCAAGCTCTCCCAGTGGAGCACGGAGGCGCTGTCAGCCGGTGCGAGCGCCACGAGAGCGGCGAAAGCGCGAAAGCTGGAGGGCGACGGCTGAGGAGGGTTGGAACAAAACGCACAACGGAACACCTTGCCGCCTGACTAGCTGTTTAATATGTATAAAGATCCGAGGATTATATAACATAACTAACGTAATAATTATGTGTATCAGCTTCTTTGGATGTACTGAGGCGGCTGAAACAATAGCCCTTGAGCTGGGGGCTGCTAGCCGCTCACTAGCCCTTGACTTTGGAGCATCACCGGCAAGTGTTGAAGTTCCTGTTTGGATGATATTATGTTGAAACAATACTGAGTTACTCGGCGGGTGGGCCTTTTTTCACACGAGAAACCTTTGACTTTTGCTGGGAAATCCTGCACGACCCTGGTGACCAACGGACCGAGCTGGGTTCCACTATCTCAGGCGACCAGCTCTACGAATTCATTTTGGATTGGTTCCAGACATGTTGCGACTAGTTCATTGGACTTTCTGTCTAGATCGAGCTCACCAGAGCGGACCTGCGTACATGTGTATTTTTGTATACACACATATCAAGGGATCTGCCGGCTGCACCAAGACTATGAAGGATTGTGCGGTCTAAGCAAAAAAATGATAAACAAGGGACCTTCCTTTGTGCTCCTCATGGTCAGACCATCCGACGTCCGCTTCGCTGGTATCTGCCAACTCATGGCCATTCTCCCTTGCTGCCGGTGTTCCGCGTCCGCGACATGTGGCGCGTGGCACGTGGCGCTGGAGGTGGACTTCAAAGCGGTGGATCTGGAGTCTTTGGGGCGGCCCAAGGTACCAGTGACCAGTCCGAGGCCTTAGTGGCTGCTGTGCTGGTGTGGTGGTTGTTGGCTGTACGCATTTTAATCGTACCCTTCGTCCCCGGCAATTGAATGAAGACACACTGGAAGGAATATTAATATGACCAATATGATCAATATGCAATGCTGGTGCAAGCTGAGTGAAGCGCTTCTTGAGCACGGCAACTCAGGTGTTAAGCACGGCAACAAGTTCATGATCTCCAATGAGTGCCGTAGCTGCAGAGAGAGAGAGAGAGAGAGAGAGTCTGGCATGATTCACATGGTGATTCCGCCGCGGATCCGATTGATGGATCCGGGGTGCTCTACAGAGTCGGTGCCTTTTCAGTGTCAAATTGGTGAAGTTTCTTGGGCCATAGGGCTAGTTGGAGCTATAGGATTTGATTTATACTTTTTGATCTTTTTTGTATGCCAGAATTGAGCCAGTGGGATCAGTGGGCAAAGGCTGTTTTGAGCTTGGCTTTGCAGAGCCTCACATAGCCCCTGTCACTGTCACCTGTCTGTTCAAGGAAACAAAACTTTCGAACACCTCCTACCAAAGGGACCGAACTGTTTGCTTCGTTGCAAACTGTGGGGGCGAACGGTGTTGTTCCCGCTCTGCCAGTGCAAACCTGACGGGACCTGGCGGCTGAGGTTCATCCTCGTCGCCAAAGTCTCCAGCGAGGAAATCTGCGAGGGGAGAGGGATGGGCACTTGTAGTTTCTGTGGCTTTTGGAAGCTTTGGCCTGTATTGGGGGGGGTTCTAGCGACGGCTTTGCGACTGTGACCAGGGTCGAGGAGCAGGTTCTTTCGAATGAAACGCTCCATTCGAACCACTGAGGACTATATACCCATCCTTGTTCTTCTTTTTCCACCGGTTCTTTCGAAGGCAACGGGTCAACCACTTTTTCGATTGCGCCAGGAGAGGCAGACCGTGAATCTCATGGTCTCCAGCGATGGGGCAAAGACCTGGAAGGCACTCTGACGAAGAGACAGATGGTGTCACCTGTGAAGTGTAAAAAGTGCAAAGGCAGTAAATGGTATGGCTGAGCTTGCAGAGGGTGTTTTTGTGCAACTCTGTGGGCTGGAATACCCGTTGACACTCTCGGGCCAGATAGAAGGAATTGACGATGTTCATGGAGTGTTTGGCCTTTGGAGCCCTAGCTGGAAGTCTGGTGATTTCCTGCTGATTCACACCATCATGTAACTGCCGCCACAAAATGTGTGGCGAACACACGCACACACACACACACACATTCGGTTGGTTCACGTGGTGAATCGAGTCGAGTTTCTTGCTTTGCCTCGTCTAGGCGGCCTTGCTACCCTCCGGGATGGGAGAGCTCGAAGAGAAATGGCCAGGAAGCTTGATTTGTGGGAGTTTCCGAGGCTTTACTGGAGCACATGATAGCACATGTATAAACATGATGTACTTATACTCAGCTCTTTTGTTGTGACATGTGAGGAGAGTAGCTCGGCTCTGCATGTCTACATCTCTCAGAGATACAGATGCCACTAGTCAGCGTCGATTTCATGGGTGCTTTGCGCAGAAAGTGGCTCTGCGGGTAAACGCTGCCACGACTTGACAGAAAAAACATGAAAAAACTATCACACACTCAGCTCTGCTAGCTGCTAGGTATACCATCGTGGATACCTCGGAGGGGGCCGTGCTGCTTCATTTGAACTCCGAAACGGCCCGGGGGCTTGAGGGAGCGTGGCGGTGCGGTGCGGAACCTCGTGACATGGACATGAAGATGGACGGATCTTGGACAGCTGAAGGATGTCCATGGTTCCTCCAAGACTGCTGGTGAGACCCGGTTTTTGAGTCTTCGTTCTTTTGGAAAAGGAGTGCTCCAATTGCTTCTCCTAGGTCCGAGATCGGTAGTATCAATTCAGATGGAATCACACGATCTTTCCTTTCGGATGTTCCATCCTGCAGAAGCTAAGTGACCCGCAGTCAAGTATGCCTTGGCGCAGCAGACCACTCCGCATGCTCCTTGCATCAACCCATGCTGCCTGTCCACCCTTCAGGGGGCTGCAGACACTGGCCGCATCTTCGTGTCTGACAGCGAAGGCTACAAGTGACCCTTGAGGAGGCAGAACCACTCCATCCAGAGGTTAATTTCTTAGAAAGGACCGGTTTCTCCACCTGAAGGAGGAAGAATCTCAGGAGACAGAGATGGACCAGGCCGACGGGCATCTCCAGGTATTCCCAGTCCCTGCTCCACAACATCCGGTCCTCTGCTGGTGATGTGGAGTTTGACAAGGTTGGCAGAAGGAGTGGATGGGGGGGTGTGGCGACAGGAGGGAGAGCGGGCAGTTAGCGTCAGAGCTGATGGCTTTGCGGGGTGAGACCCTAAAACAAAGGAACCTGGAAGTACAGATCGATGCATGGACCATTTGCTTTTTATCCTCGTGATTCTGGGGTTTCAGATGGTTCCACGTTCGTCTAAGGTGCTGTGAAGAAATCCAAAGGCCCAATCCGAATCCGACTGAAGCTCCCAACCTCAGCCAGAAGCCAGGCGCCATTGACCGTTCTTCGCCGTCACGTTTCGTGCCGAATGGTTCGGACACCGGAGCCTCCGCCTCCGAGGTGGTGAGCCTCACTGGAGTCTATTTGGCAAATGTCCTGGTCTGGGCCACCCATGGTGGGAGAGTCCGGACCATGGGTGCAGGGAGGACCAAAACGCCACGCCCAGAAGATGACACCGTTGACGACACTCAGCAAGTGACAGGAGATTGCAATGTGTGCAACCACCTATAGAAGATCCTCTTCTTCATTTGGCGCTGTGAACACCTGGGTGGTTGGCTTTGGGGGACCACCCTGCACTAGTGTGGTTTACCAGATGTCTCCTTTTGTGTGGGAGGTCTCCCACTCCCAAATACGGTTGAATAACGACTTACGACTTACGACTATTCTTGATCTTGGTTCTTGCTATTCGTCATCTTTTATCACCAGCCCCCAAGTGGATGGGGAAACACTTGTAAGGTGTGGGCCATCTAGAGATGGGGGGCAGCCTCAGCATTGAAACGGCCCAGGTCGCTTCCCACGCCTGTGGCTGGAGTTTTTGGACTTTCTTTACTGTAATCCTTACATGGAAACCAACAGAAATCATACAGAAGAAATAAGGGTAGCTTCTATATTGTGTGCTTGACTCGCATGCGCATCGGTCGCGCCTGTTTTTTCCTTGTTGTGGATCCCTGGTATTTCTACGGAACAAGATAACTTGTTTAAGTTGAGGCTAGTTGCATATTAACTTATTATGTCAAGCAAATTCGCACATGAATTCTCCTTCACAGCAGAGGTCCGCTGTGTAGTGTATCCGTCCCTTCGCTTAGGCTGATGCTGAAGGGGATGCTGGCTACCAGAAGGTCGGTCTGGGGGCGGACGTTGTTGAATGTGAGGGAACACCTTAGACTCCCCAAACTTTTGGTCGTTCAGTCCGCCGAATGACTTAAGGTTACAACAGGATACAACATGATACAACAGGCCCTCCAAACCCTTTCGGGTTCTAGTAACATCATTTTGCGGGTGCACGACCCATCCTAGTTTCAGGAGAATTGAAGGGCTTTTGTTCTTCGCCCTCAGCCATGAAGAGTCTCGAGGGAAGGGTACCATAGGAATGCAGGCTCAACTAGGATAGTTATAGTTGAATTCTCCTTGAGGATGCTGAGCGTGGATGAAGGATTCTTGAGACTGTAATCCCGTGATCAAATTTCTTGAGATAAACTGCAATACATGTCAGGCTTGCACTGAGTGTTCCACGTCGTGTAGGTGCAGCAGCTTGGATGTAGACCAACTGAATGGATAATTGGTATGATTTCTGGCAATTTGTTTTCATGGCAATCTTGGAGGATTGTGTATGTTTTCCGGATAAATTCTTGGGATCCAGCCAGCAGCTAGCAGTGTCAATACCGTGTGAACGAGTCCCGATTCTCACTCTGAACGCCACTTTTGTCTTGACACTGCCTCGGTCGTTTTTGCATCCAAGCCACTTGGTTGATAAACGCATTACTTTTCCATGAAGGTATATTATATAGTATAGAAGATGGAACATACAACATTCCAAGGATTGTCATTGTTTCATGATACTTATTTCATGTTTCGCATGATGTTTCCTTGCTCGGCCGCCAGGGGAAGCAGTGGGCGGTAGAAACAGTTGAACAAGATGCTTCGGAAGGATCTTCAGCCACTTGGTTGAAGCGATTTGGTGGTTTTTGTTGTTTTTTCCCAAGTTAGTACCCACGCGTGAGAGGAATTGAACACCAACGGGTATTTTAGGGTTTGAAAGGTGTCAACATGAACCAGGCGGCTATGAACGGGGGTTTCTGCATGCCCGTTTCAGCCGGAAACTTGCCCGACTCGGCTGCACCAGATCGACCGTAATGATCAAAATAATGTTTAAAACCATGTTTTACAACTTTGCGTTTGACTGATCTCATGCTAGTTTGAGATCGGCCTCAAGCAACTCCCCGCAAAACCACGAAGATTATTCATGTGTGTGAAACATTCACCAAAGAAGCTACTAGGAGCTCCTGGCATCGCTACTAGGAGCAAGGACGCTACTAGGGGCTCCTGGCCTTACTACTAGAAACAAAGAAGCATTCACCAGAAAAGTCTTAAGCACGTGGAAAGCTGGCGCCTCAGGTGGATCGTCGACATGGTCGAGGCTGGGGCAAAGCCTCCCGCACGGCCAAGGCGTGGAGCCGGGGGGTTCGTTTGAAACCGGTAGTTGACCTCTTAGCCACACAATGGGGATTTTTGTGATGATTTTGGGATTGTATGTCTAAGAAAAGGTGTTCATACCTAATAGAAAACCAAACCACTACCATGAAAGGCTTCTTTCTCCTAACTGGTTTTGGCGCAAAGACACTTGGCTTCAACAGTATAGGGCAACCATTTCTTCCTGCTAGCTTCGGTGTCCAGGTACCATTAATGGACATTGCTGTGATTTCGGCGGTCTTGTTTTTCCGTTGATTTTGCCAGGAAGAGCGGAGCATTCGAACGGTGATCTCCTTTGACAAGGCAGCAGAGTGGCAGAGTCTTTTTGGAGGAGAAGATCGGAAGAGCGGTAGGAAATGGTTGAGCCTTCAGAAATCTCCAGAAATACTGCACCAAAGCAGTCTCAGCGTTAAATCCTGGAACCAGTCGAATATGATGTATGCTTTTCTCCTCAGTTTCCTTGGCTTGTGGGGAGTAAGACGTGTGAAGCCGCTGAGCGGTTCTTGGAGTCAAAGAGCCAGCGGAGCCAACATGGAGTCCTTCTGGGGGAACTTGAGAAGGTCCATGGATGAGACAAGTGGCGGCTTTTGCTCACCAGAACTCCTTTCTTTGGAGACACATTTCTAAAGGCGTGTAGCTCCACCCTGAGGGTCGAGGGTCGTCCTCCCCACGTCTTCCGGATCGGCCGGACTCGGAACTCCGAGACAGGGTGGATCCTGGAGATACTTGAAGCCGCCCAAGGTCAATAGCTCGGGCTGCCCAGTGTGTGTCACACCGACCACTTCCCGCGCGGTTCGCGGTTGCGTGTGACCTCGCAGCCGTGGTTCGAACGAGAAACCCGTTTTCGTGGGCCGTTGGCGAGGTTTGCGACGGTCTGGCTGTGGTCTTCCCCCTTTTTCCTGGCCAGTTGTGTCGTGGAACTGAGGGACATTGAACATATTCTCAGTGAGTCATTGATATGTGCTCAGTGAGAAATGTTCGGAAATGTGCTCCGCATGAATCTGAACATTTGTCGCTTGTTCGCGGAAGATGTTGATTCTGTGGACCCAGCAACCATGCACTGCATCCTTGTGCTGTTTCACTTCTCAGGTCAAGGTCAACCATATTTCTGCGCGGGGCGACCCTTGCAGGACCAGTGTCCCGAAAGGCCAAAGAACGGTCCAATCGATGAGATTTCCTAATTTGGCAAAGCTCATTCGAGGAGCTTGAGTGGAAGAAGTCGATCATTCCTTAGGTGGAAAGGGGGCAAGCCTTTCAGTGCCGAACTCGTCCGTGAAGGTCAGGATGATTGAGGATTCGACTTGCTTGGTCTGACACAGTAGGCAGGCTTGGTTGAAGGGCAAGTGGGATTAGACCTTCAATGAAGCTATTCCTCGTAGACTTCCCCATGTTCCTTTTGATTGGTTGGACAAGTAGATCAACCCCAAGATTGAAATCCTCAGCCTCGATGGCCGGCTTGAACCATGCCAGCCTCTACCAGGAATGTGCACTCCATCTTCACGGAAGCAGTTCCTGGGATCTCTATGCACCTTTCTACTCGAGTCGGGAGCCGAACCGAGCAGACATCTTTTGGGTCTTAGACGTCGTTTGAAAGATGTGGTTTATTACGGGCAGGATAACGTTTCTTCTGTCGATTCCATGATCTATTTCCCTTCAATGATTTGCACGTCGCTTTTGACACACTTTTGTCCGAAAAGTGATGCTCACGCGAGGTGAGAACTGTGTAGGGCCACGACCTCAGGGTATCTCAGGGTCTTCAGGACCAGCATCGGAATGGTGAATGGTCCTTCTTTCCAGATGCCACAGCGGCACAGTCCTTGACAACGATGCTTGTTGATGTTCTAAAACAGAGTGTTTGGTTCGTCCTCTGGTTGGTGAGGACGACCTCTTCCAATTGGGGTTGGGGGAGTTTCACGAGCAAACTCATTATGGATATTAGAGTTGGCCATTGCATTGTTTCCAGACTCGTTGAGGGCGTTTCACTGGACCTGAGGATGTAAGAAACTCTACCTTTGAATGCTCGGCTACACTTGTGTTTTGATACTTCAAAGACTAGGAATTGATTGGGCAACGGCGGGTTGCCGTCAAGTCCAAGCAGCAAGACTTGTGTTTGCTGAACTCCTGGACTTACTTCGGCCAGAATTATGAGCGTTCGGGATCTTTGCCTTTTCTTTCTCTCTTCAGCAGTTCCTGTTCGAATGCAGACGGGCTTGTGAAAATGGTTCGCCTAGGATCATTATGGGCACCGGAAACGTGGGAGCATCCTTGAGGTTCGCAGTCGACGGTTCGAAGGCGGTTTTTCGGGTCTTTTCTGCTCGGGTGAAGAAGCAGTCTGAGCAGGTCCATCTGAGTAGATGATTTTACTGGATGGGGAAACATGAACACAATAAGATACAATAAACATCCTCTTGGGGCACCGGATCCGTCGGTCAGTAGCAATGAACAAGGCAGACAATCTTCCTGCCGGGGTGCCCTTTTAGTTCGGCTTGATCATGCCACCATGAACTGTGTTCGGATGGGGTGCCAGGGTGCCAGGGGTTCGAAACTCGAAACCGATCTCTTTGTCGTGGGTGTCTTGGGTGTGGGTTTGATCAACTTTGTCCTTGAAACATTCGGGACCTTCGACTTTCTGCGCGGAGGGGGGCGTTACATACACCTGCAGTAAGTAGAAGCCACAACCTGTTTGGACACCCTACGACGAGGATATCTTCAGCATGGGACCCATGCTGAGAGACGCAGAATCGCTGGTTGGGTTAGTTGGAACATGTTGGACCAATGGGCTAAATCGGAGCAGGTGATTTCTCAATTTTGGAAGCGCTGGTGCACGTCAGACTTTCCACACCGAAAGCCACGTTGGCTCATGAACATGGAACATATTTACTGAACATGGAATGAGCTGATGTCATCCTCAAAAGTCCCGGGATCAGTGGTGCTTTACAGCAAGTAAGATGTGTTAGACTTTTCTTACGAATCCCAACTCCCTGACCTGTATAGAGTAGTTTCTGACAGATGACACACAGGTGGAAACATAGATGGCATAGCTCTACATTCTAAACTCCGTACGCCATGCATTCAGGGCAAGGTCTCTCACTTTCGAATGGTGAAGAAAAAGATCGATCCTGCAGATGGATGCACGTATTCCTTGGTGGAGCTCCAAGAGCACTATGCCGGCAAGTACAAGAAGAAGGTTCGCCAGCCTTCGCCAACGGGAACATGGTGTCAACGTCCATTTCGGTGATCTGTCACTCATTCAGTCTTGGAGTCTTGGCGCAAGGATGTCACGTCCAGTCTTGCGCCTGTTTCCGGCTTCCTGCGTCTCACAGAACCCTCATCGCCAGGAGATTCAGAAGTACTGGGAGAATGACTGCAAGGCGGTAGATGAAGGACGCGAAGGCGCCCCCGCTCCAGTCTGGCGCCTGCTTGCTCGCTGGGTCTGTTTGGCCAACGTGGTGTCGTGGTGTCCGGGGACACCTGGGATCGACGCACGGAGCTCCCTGGGTAGGATGAAAATAGCAGCTGGTCTGGGACCAAAGCGTGGGGCCCTTGGAAGTGAGGAGGGCCATCGTGAAATGACCAATTCTATCCGTATCCAATTCTCTCGAAATGACCCCATTTGCTGTAGTACATCATGTGAAAAATGCGGTTGGAGCAACTCAAAAACAATTGCGAGCTCAGCAGCGCAATCGAGAGGCTGTTCCTCGCTATTCCGCACACATAGATAGATAGCGAGATTAGTAATGAAACATGACAAAATCTTTTGCAGGGGTCCACCCAGATGATTCCCCCTCTTCTATTAGGCTTATCGGATCTTATAGGCATATAAGAACTACATGGAACTACGATCGGTTGCTCACCTGCACTGCTGCGGGCAACTTGGCTCTTTGGGCACTTGGCCCTGGTGAGGAAGGCCTGGCTGCCTGGCAGATCTCGAGCCGACCACCCGCCCTCTTGGTCACCGTTCGGTCAGTCTCGCTCTTTCCGGTCACCGTTCGGTCTTCCCAGGTGCCAAGCCCGTCCAGAGCCAGCCCCGATCCGCGCCTCGAGGCGCGAAAGCACTCGTTTGGGGGGCCGATGATTCCAAGCCTCAAGGAGGACTCTCCGACGAAATGTGAAAATCCTCCACCTGAGATGATGTACCATGTGGAATCCCCATTTGCATCTCTGCTGCAAACCTTTTGCTGTGGCCATTTTCAATCATTTTCATCCATTTCACCCCCTTCCGGGATCTTCTGGCAAGGCGAAGAACAGCCAAAGCCCAGCGAGCGGCCGCGCCTCGCTCGCTCCAGGTCCTGGCTGAAGAAGGCAGCTGAAAAACACCACCCGGGGTGGACTGGACTGATCTTAATGTGAAGGAGGTTCTTCTATTGGCGGGGTATTTCTTTTTAATTAAGTACCATTTGAGCAGCGGCCAAACTTTCCAAGTAACAGTTGGAAGACAGGTGAATGTACTATGCCTTCGCGTAAGCACAACATGCAGTCGCGAAAGATTTGCGGAAGATTGCGCGTGCTTTTCATTGACGAAAGCTTGCGAAAGCTCCGGAAAGCTTGCAAAAGCTCGCGGAGTCAGTTCCGTCCGCGAAGCTTGCGAACGTGTTTTTGCACAGAATGCAGCGCGCGAAAGCCAAGATGCAAGCCGCAAAAGTGTTGCGAAAGGCGAAAGGAACTTGCGAAAGAAGAGCCCAATAGAACATATTCTCGATAGGTTTTGAGCAATGCTTATTTGTAAGCATGTGTAACCTTGGCTGGCCTGCTTTGAACGTTTGTTTACGGATCCGGAGCTCTACAGACTCTAAAACATTCACCATTCGATCCTCCATTGATGGAATGGCTTCACAGCTTCCTCGCCGTTGTTCTACACACAATTCCGTCTTCACATTCGTTGATCACAGGTCTGTGGCGTTGCCCTTCTGCCCTGTGAGGCGGGACGGGCACCGATGACGCCCTCGGGCTCCGCTCCGACGCCGCAGTTGGTGTCATGTGGCCCATGGTCGACCCTTGCAGGAAGAGTTGGCGCCCCTTTTGGAGGCCGTCCATGCCAGCAAAGATGACTCGGAGAAAGAGGCCATTTGACACGGATTTGATCCCTTTCGCATCTTTCGCTTCCATCAACCTGAACCTTTTTGCTTTCTTGAGGTGTTTCAGTTTCCAACACTTGGACAGCCTAGGCCCTAGGCTTGTCTCAACTTCAAAGGCCCAACGAAATCTGACCAACAAAAAGTACGCGGTACGCGTGTGGGAAGTAATTCATGTCAAATCTTCCCACCAAGTCTGCTGTGTTTGCTGTGTTTGCCTCTTCCCTGACCAATACACCCACGTCCCAAGGCATGGCAGCTGAAGTTGCTGACCGCACACCCGTTCGTCGAGCGGAAAGTGAAGGAGGCCGGCGAGTCCTGTTGCGCTCAGCCCGGTCGTTCATTCGCTCCTCAACGGAAGAACAGCTTTGAAAAGGCAAGAGAAGCAGGCAGCACTGGCACAGGCACCATGAAGACCACGAGCAAACGCAGTACCAAGATGTACCAAGCACAGGGAGAAGAAGAGAGAGAGAGAGAGAGAGAGACAAGGAGAAACATCGTGTCTCAAGGCTGAGCATGTCGCAAAGCGCTTCTTGAGCGAACTGGCCATGTTGCAGAGACAAACACTTGCCAATATTTGCAAGTTCAATAATATGCTGCCATCCCGGCGCATGGGCATTTTCCGGATGCAATGAATACGGGTTTGAAGGCCGGGGTCGGACTATTGCTGCTAGGGACAATTGTGGGTGAGATTCAATGCTGAAAACCCACCCAATGTGGATGCCTGTCAAACAGAACAAAAACAACACGTTTTTTTGCAGGTGATTATATATATACAAGGAAAGAAGATCCCAAAACGCCTTTGGTTCAATGGTTCTCCTGGCTCAAAGGGAGACCCCCTAACCGTAGGGACCAATCGCGTGGTTGGTCTTGTGTCGCTTGGCCTGATCAAGTATGCAGGTGGCTGGAGATCGATGTGAGTGGAAGGAAATGGCTTCCAAATGTTCAAGTTGGCTCTGCAAGTTAAGCGAAAGGAGACGATTTTTCATCGCTGAACACTCTGTTATGAACCCCTACAGAGAGGACCGCACCGCAGTCACCCACCACCGCCGTTTCACCCCCACGGCGTGGAGTCTGTCCAGAAGTCGTCCTCGCTTTGGGTTGCAGGTTCCGGCAGAGGCCTTGGCGCCTGGTGTGTCTGTAGAGGCAGGGAGAGCGGCAGCGTGCTTGCAGAATACAACAGAACAGGCTGCAGCAAATCGTTTTGTTTCTTTTAGGCAACTCTGCCTTATTTAGGGTTGTATTGCTTTGGGATTTGAATATTTGAGATATTTGGGTAGTCATTCAGTTTCCTATGGCTCTATGACTGAAGGAAGACGTCATATTTAGTCCCCTGAGTGAATTCAGATCTTGCTTGTCCTACTTGTCGAATGCCCACAATTCAATCATCCTTCACCTCATACTGACATACTGCTTACTTCCGAGCTGCTCTTGCCATCTATCTATCTGAGCAGTTCGGCAGGTGACACGACAGCGAAAGCAAAACGATAAACGGCTACCGATCCACACTGCCCCTATGTTCGTTCCACTGAGATCTCTTGGGGAACGGGGGTGAGACATGTCTATTTTTACTATATACTATTATTACTATTGTTTATTGTTATTTTTTTGTTTTTTAAACTGAAAGAATGGATACAAAGGCGGAACTCATCGACGTGCCACGTATACGCATGTGTGCAGAGCACTTGATCCCACGAAAGCTTGCTTTCAAGCTTTCAAGGGTTTTGATGCAAGCCAAAGCACACTGCGCCAATTGCCACGTTCAAAGGTGTGGACCAAGTGCACCGTGAGTGAAACGGCGGCCCAAAGGAAGCAAAAAGCGTCCCGCTCAGGTGGAGAACTTCCGCTTGATGGTTTTCAAGTTCCGGAAGTGGCTGAAGACCCCTGAGCCTCGGTGGTTTTCAGTTAAGAAAGACCGCTCGTTGGTCCTGGCCCTGGCGGGAGGTGGATTTTTTGGCCGGGAAGAGACACGGATCTGCCAATCTGCGGATGTGGAGATGCTGGAATGCATCAGTCTATGTCATTTGTTTTTTTGGGTGTGCGAAGATCAGTTGCTAGTTACAAGATGTTACAAGAAAGCTAAGAGTTTAGTGATGCAATGCTGGAGAAATCTTGTGGGTCAGAACACCTCTGTGGAGATTTGGCACCACCTGTACAGCAGTTTTTTCGCTGTGGATGGAGATGTTGGATTCAGCGAT